CACACACACACACACGCGCGCGCGCGCGCACACACACACACACACACACACACTATGCACAAGGTTTAGGCCAGTATGCAGTTCGTTTGCTTTGATCTGAAGGATCTTGTTTGCACGGTCAAAAGAGGAGGAGAATCTTATGAACCACCAAAGCAGTGAACTTGAAATCTATTTCACCTCCATCAAATGCAGCTGATGGTTGAAACGGTATATATGGCACTTCTCTGTTCAGTTTATCCTAGAATCTTTTGCAAAACTTCCTCTTTCCTGGCATCACGCTGGTTTTCTCTGTTAAGACAAGATTAGTGAATGACGATGGAAACGTTTTCATAACCTTTGGCGTCTTGGGCCCCATCTACCTTCAGTATGTACCATGAATGTCCTATCTCTTTCACAGTTACAAGGTCACTCATAGGTGATGTGATGTGAACACTATAGCAAGTTCTGTCTTTTCAGAGAGTGTAATTCATCATGGACTCCTCTCCCATAGTGTCAAAAGCATCCAACGGAGCCCTAAAAGGAAGAATGTTTGAAACAAAAAACTGCGATTTCTGTCTAGCTGTCCCATATTAACTGGAGTTGAGGTCCAAAAACTAGTTTGCTAGGGGGTTTGGGGGCATATGGTAAATTGCAGGCAAATGATAACAGAATGATAATAGAATTTTCATAATTGGGTGAACTTTCCCTTTAAATTTCGAGCACAGACAGCATTGGTCATTTGCAAGTCTTTTTATTTTAATAAGCTAAATGACTGTCCTAACCACAACCTGTAAACACACGTCAGAGACAAATGTTTTATGATGTTCTGGTGAAGATCTGAGGATGATGAGTACATTTACTGCAAGGCTGTAAGAAAAGAGGGTAACACTACTTAAAGCCTTTTATGTATAATGCATTAGAAAGGGTTATTAACGGGTATAATGCATTATAATCATTCATAATGTGCATTGTAATACATTATATCTTGTCGTAAATAATTATAACCAAATTTAAAATGCAATACATTTTCTTATGAATTTATATGATTTCCTTTGATAAAATACATATGGATATACAGTAGCAGAGAAATTATTGCTACAATTAGCTTCAAGCTACACATGACAATTAATTAGATTAATACAACACTGAACAGAAACGTTACTATTAATCACCACTGAGTGTTTATAATAACTTCTGACGGCGATCCAGTGTGGATTTTGGTGAAATGATGAGGCAGAAATATATTGTTAGTAACATTTCAGAAGACTTTTATGGGGAAGATGTGCAACTAATGTGGGGTGTGAAAGAAAAGTAATGTAACTAATTACTGTTGCCAGAAAGTAATAAGTAAAGTAATAATATTACTTTAGGAGTAACTAGTAATGAGTAATATATTACATTTTTTGAGCAACTAGCCCAACACTGTTCTTAATATCCTGGAATAACGGCAGCAAAGCTGTAAATGTTGCATGTTCTCGCTTCCTTTAATAATTCAACTGTTTATACAGTAACTGGGTCTGAAGACATTGATTACAGTCAAAAATAACAGTTAATTTTATTTGAAGTGGGTTTTTCCAATGAAACACAATACAGTGTTTTTCACAAGAAAAAACTAGACGATCACTGGCATTTGAGTTGAGTTGCAATTTTGATTAGTTGAATATAAAAAAATGATGCATGAATACTATAAAATCATACCACTAGATTATCATGATCACAGTCTTAGGAAGAAAAGCCAGGTGCATGTCATTCATGATTAAAGACTGTGAAAGCAAATCTGATCCTCAGGCTTTTTAAACGCTCTTCAAATCATCTTCATGTCAATCTCTGGTCTCTGATGCTGCTCTGCGTCGTCTCTTTGAGCCGATGGACTCAGTTTGGACTCCCAGTCATCTGATCGCTCCAGAACAGCGGTGTAGCAGCTCTAATGCCATGGAGAAAGTTTGAGCAGAGCATGCTAACTGTTCTGTGTTTGGCTGCACAGACGAGCACAGAACACTGTTTAGAGTCCCAGCCTCAGAGACAACAGAGCAGTGCATTTATTGATTTATTTACTGTATATTGCTGCTGCCACACAGATCTAAAATAAACATGCGATTTATTTCCCAGCTGTTTACCTTCACAGACATAACCCACTGTTTTTGTAACTCGTGTGTTTTTAAGGTAAACTTGTGTGTGAATGAGAACTTAGTTTAGTGCTCACATGCTGTGACAGCCGCTTTCTGTGCGTGTGCTTCGGATGTGTGCGCTCAGAAAACCGTATATCAGAAGTTTAAACTCATATGGTTTAAAACGCATGATTTCAGCGCGATAAACATGATAATCAGAGCCAAAACAGATGTTTTTAGCAGGTATGACTCGCACAAAAGCAGTGTTAAGTCGCTGGGGTATATTTGTAGCAATAGCCAACAATACATCGTATGGGTCAAAATTATAGATTTTTCTTTTATGCCAAAAATCATTAGGATATTAAGTAAAGATCATGTTCCATGAAGATATTTTGTAAATCTCCTACCGTAAATATATCAAAACTTAATGTTTGATTAGTAATATGCATTGCTAAGAACTTCATTTGAACAACTTTAAAGATGATTTTCTCAATATTTAGATTTTTTTGCTCCCTCAGATTCCAGATTTTCAAATATTGTCCGATCCTAACAAACCATACATCAATGGAAAGCTTATTTATCCAGCTTTCAGATGATGTATATACTGTATCTATAAAAAAAAAAAAAATGGACCCTTATGACTGGTTTTGTGCTCCAGGGTCACATTTGTTCTGGTTTTCCAGTATCGTGACAACACAAGAACACATCAGACAGAAGTTACAGATCATTAATGATCTCAATCACTCTGTGATGAGCAGAGAGAGCGAGCAGTTGTTTTAAACACGAACTCTATAAATCACAGAAGTCCAGATGTGCTCCAGAGGCGTATCTGTCCTCCAGCAGGCCCTGCATGAGTTTACTGATGGACTGGTCACAGGTGAGCAGCTGACCCTGAGCATGCATGACACTGACGGAGTTTCTCAGAGCTGCTCCTCGCCTGCAGCTGCATGTCTGTGTCCAGAGGCCCTGCGGAGCGCCACAATCCCACACAGGAGCTGTAGGAGAGCTGAGACGTTAGATAACCCTGCCAGTGACATGCGTGTGAAACCTGACTGAACAGAGCTGCCATGATGCATGTAAGATCCTAATCAAACGCTTCAAAACCAAAGCCTTTTCACAGTCACACTACATTTCACATGCCTTTTCTGGCACAGCGCATGCATTTTTGCTCTGGAGAACAAAATGGCCAGAAAATCTTTTTACACTGACTTTTTTGCCATCAAAAATATGGTTTCCCGTTTTAGTTTTAAAGATTTAGAGTCAAATAAAAATATATGCATGATATGAGAAATAGTTCTGTTTTATAAATGCATTAAAAATGCAAATGCGTTAGTGTTTTTTATGTTTACAGTCAAATGATTAGCATGCACAACAAAAGCACTCTTCGTATCAGTACAAATGTATTGAAAGCGTAATTCCACCACAGAAAATAAGCTAGTTGCAACTTTATCTATCACAATTCTGACCCTTTTTTGCAACTGCAAGTTTCTCACAATTCAGACTTTTCTTCTCAGAGTTTTTCCTTACAATTCTGACTTTTTTCCTGCAATTCAAATATATAAAGAGTTGCAATTATCTTTTTTATTCTGTGGCAGAAACAACCCATGAACAAATGTAATATATGTACATATATCATATTTCACATACATCACACATACATCATAGGGATGTAACACATATATGTAACATATTGTCATATGAAGTAAAAACGTAAATTAAACTATACTAGAAATTGCGACAATTTCATATAACTTTGAAATATGTTATAAACTTGTATCTTCATCTGGTCACACAATGTAGATATGTGATATATACATATATAGACACACTGGCGTTCAAAAGATTGGGATCAGTTTATTAATCTTTGAAACCTGTGATTTCTGAAGAATCATGTGACACTGATGCTAAATTCAGCTTTGATCACAGGAATAAATTACATTTTAAAGTATATTAAAATAGAAAACCATTATTTTAAATTATAATAATACAATTCAAGCGGGAGAAAGAAACATTAAAAAGGTAAATAAATGAGCAGATCACATAACAATAAATGAGGGGAGGAACTTTCATAAACTTGCATTTGTTGATGCAAGCAAAATAATTAAGTTGCAAAGAAAGTAAACATTTCCATATTGCTTCTCAAAAGTGAAAGATCCAAACAAAACATCTTTAAAGTAAAGCTCAAGTTTACAGTGAACTACAGAGTTTTCTATGAACACAATGCCAAAAGAAACTGAAGCCATTTTTTCTTTTGTTTTTATTGCAAGTATAAACAATAAACTTCAACAATTAAATACAACATTAGATGACATTATGAATGCAAAAATAATATAGGAAGACAATAAAGAAACAATAATACAAAAACAAATAAGAATAAATCAATAAATAAAACGTAAAAAAGTAACGTTCATTATCATTATACAGTTTCACAAATTTGACACTTTTTTGGTGTTAATATGTTTTTAGTGTTATAATTAGGTAGTTAATGTCACAAAGAACATTCTGTAATTTGGGTAATGTTGAAGAAAACTGACATTTATGAATGTAATATTTTCCCAATAATATAAATACATTTCCTATATATTCTGTGTTGTGTTTACAATGAGACAAATAAGAGAATAGGTCACACGTAGTTAAATCAATGTCTAAATGGGATTTTAAAGCAAGGAACTTTGACACGTCAGACCAAAACTCCTCAACAAGGGGGCATTTGAAAAAAGATGATCAATAGACTCAATACTGAATTTACACTTCATGAGGATTACCAGATATTGATGTAATCTCATTAGTGGGGTATATAGCCTATTATTATGCAAAAAAAATGTAATTTAATTATTTTACTTTGTTGGGGACACAAAAGTTATTAGGTAAGAGCCATGCTTTTTTCCATTTAATATTATCTATTAAAGACTTCCAAAAAAAGTAAGTATTTTCCTTGACTGAAACACATTTCTTATAATTTTATTATTACGTAAATACACTTGTCTTCAACCACAAAATTCTGCTTCCTTTGAAACTGAAGCGATTTTTTTATTCATTATTTTTTTATTGAAACTGAAGCGATTATTTATTTATTATTTTTTTATTTTTTTTATTGAAACTGAAGCTATTTTTTATTTATTATTATTTTGTTTTTTTATTGAAACTGAAGCGATTTATTAAATGTATTATTATTTTGTTTTTTATTGAAACTGAAGCGATTTTTAAAATTTATTATTATTTTGTTTTTTTATTGAAACTGAAGCGATTTTTTAATTTATTATTATTTTATTTTTTTTATTGAAACTGAAGCGATTTTCTTATTTATTATTTTGTTTTTTTATTGAAACTGAAGCGATTTTCTTATTTATTATTATTTTATTGAAACTGAAGCGATTTTCTTATTTCTTATTATTTTATTGTTTTATTGAAACTGAAGCGATTTTCTTATTTCTTATTATTTTATTTTTTTATTGAAACTGAAGCTATTTTTTATTTATTATTATTTTGTTTTTTTATTGAAACTGAAGCGATTTATTAAATGTATTATTATTTTATTTTTTTATTGAAACTGAAGCGATTTATTAAATGTATTATTATTTTGTTTTTTATTGAAACTGAAGCGATTTTTAAAATTTATTATTATTTTGTTTTTTTATTGAAACTGAAGCGATTTTTTAATTTATTATTTATTTTTTTTTTTTATTGAAACTGAAGCGATTTTCTTATTTATTATTTTATTGTTTTATTGAAACTGAAGCGATTTTCTTATTTCTTATTATTTTATTGAAACTGAAGTGATTTTCTTATTTCTTATTATTTTATTGTTTTATTGAAACTGAAGCGATTTTCTTATTTCTTATTATTTTATTGAAACTGAAGTGATTTTCTTATTTCTTATTATTTTATTGTTTTATTGAAACTGAAGCGATTGTTGGCGGAAGAGCGCGGCGTATGACGTCACTAGCGCAGCTCGCGTGCGCGAATATGGCGGTTCCTGCGACGACGAACGACTCCAAGAAAAGTGCTAAAAGTTATGAAATAAAATGAAGACATGACGGGAATCAACATTAAAAGTCTGCGGAAGAGTCCGGTGAGGAAACGATCCCCACAGGAGAGACGTACAGACGGCGCGGAGAGAGATTACAGTCGCCTCAGAGAGAGACACACGCGGAAGTGACGAGAGACTTTAACAACTACAACTCCAACAAACTCCAGCTAAACACTACAAATCAAAGTCACTCGAACCGAGAGCTGAATCGGGATAAAACAGCGCTTGAGAGTTTCTGAGGGAGTTCAGACAGCTACTAAACACTATTTCACACCGACTATTAACGTTACTTGTGTTTAACTACCTGAACTTTCATCTAAAGGCGTTTTTTTTTTCGAGTAACAACGTTATTTACGTCATGACGTCGATTATTTACTCGTTTACAGATGATACAGATGTGTAAGAGTAACCTGTGACTGACACTGCAGATGCTAGCAATCACTACCAAAGGTACTCCTCAAGTTTTAGCGTTTGTTGTGCTTTTATTGAACTGTAAGACTTTTCCAGTGATTAATAATAATGACTGACTACAGTTTAATGCACATCAGGATATGTGAACTAATGATCGACATGACGTCAGATGTGCCAGGAGCTCGGTCATATTAGCGTGACGTCACTGTGATTGACAGCTCAGCAGAGTTGATGTGTTTAGTGTGTTTGCGCTGGAGGTTTCAGTGAAGGGGATTGGATCCTCATGCATTGATTCTGAAGATGGATGTATCTCCCTCATCTCTCACGGTGCATTGAAAACACACACTGCTCTTTTACTTCTATGCATTTTAAGCTTTCAAAGCCGTGATCTGCTGTGAAGTCAGACGTCCAGCAGTCGATGCATGACCCGCACAGAAGAGCAGACCGGACTGTCCTCGTCTCGCCGTGGTCAGTAACGCCCCGTGATCCCTTATGGGGCAGCAGCCTGTGAAGTTAGTCGGGGACCAGAGGAGACCGAGTCTGCCGGCGCTGCCCTTCATCAAGGGAGCAGGGAAGAGAGAGGCGTCTAGACAGGGAGCGCAGCACTGCAATGTGTTCACCGTCCACGGTGAGTCCAGATCTAATGACCTCTGCCATTCAGCTCCTTTATGCACATGCATGTGAGCGGGTCACGTGACATTTTGATCAATTTAAGGCATCAAGGGTTTTATCAATTTAAGGCGTCCTTGCATAAATAAATGTAAGGCTGCACAACATTGGAAAAAAGCTGACATTGCAATATATTTTTTTCTTTGATTTATATATTGAGTTATGAAAAAAATGTTTGAGGAAAAGAGTTTTACCAGATGGCTTGAATAGCTATATTAGCAAGCACTAAATCATTTTAGAGTGAGTGGAGTGATTTTGATGGGAAGCACATCGGCATAGAAAATTGTTTATTTTAATCAAGCTGAAAATACATGTTTACTTTTATTTTATTCTTGGGATTCTTGAAATCCTTATAGGGCTGAACAATTTGTGAAAAACTTTATATAGTGGCCATTAACCATATCAAAGTAAACAAAAAACACTTTCCACTTTCCACATTCCCACTGTTTTTGACCAGTTTAATATGACAATGTAGTAATAATTTTTATTTTGATGTAATATTTAATATTATGTACTTCTATAAATAAAAATATAAAAAAATATGGTAATTATAGTAAAAAAATTGCACTTTAATTTTACATTACATATTAAATATATATTATTTTATTCTATTTTTAGTAATAAAAATAGTTGTATATATATTAGTGATGTCAAATGATTAATCGCATCCAAAATAAAAGTATTTGTTTACATAATATATATATGTGTGTGTACTATGTATATTTATGACGTATATATAAATAGACAGACATGCATGTATATATTTAAGAAAAATATGTTATTGATATATTAAAAATATTTATATATAAATGAAATTATATGAATATAAATATATACATGTAAATATTTTCTAAATATACTGCATGTGTGTGTATTAGTGTTGTCACGGTACCAAAATTTCAAAATTCGGTACCTATAGGGCCTTTCGCACCGCTTTAGTTCCAGAACTAAATGTACAGTACTAAAGTACTGGGACGATTTTGCGCGAACTATTTCCCAGTACCATTTAAAGGGTTGCATTCACACCGAGAGTGTGTACTAGAAGCTGGTCAACAGCGACGTCATATGTGCGCGGCGTTCAACAACAGAAACAAAGAACAACATTAACAACAGGAGGACGCTGTGATCGGAGCTGTGTGTTTGTTGTGTCTCGCGGGTTTCACAATAATGGACATGGAAAGTCGACGTATACGTAAAGCGATTGAAAGATTTCAGTAGCGGAAATTTAAATGTGAGATTCTGTAAACGGTAACGGCTGTAATAAAATAAGCGCTCCGTTCACAAACGCTGCTCAGGCATTACAGGCAAGATGAAATGAAAATGACATCCATAATTTTCTGAAGACAGTCGGTTTCCTTCAGAAATACAGTGATATAAAAACACCCGCACCGGGTTTCGACTTTGACACGTGCAGTGCTCATGTTTATTCAACGAAGTCAAAGCCTTTTGGAAAATCTATTTGTGGCGGTCAGTTTTGATATTGTGGCGGCCGACACAAATAAATCAATGTATGTAAATCAATGTATAAATCAAATTTCATTTGATCTGGGTGTCTGTCTTTAAAGTGTTTTGTTAGTTTGGTGTGTTTCCTAGTTTTGAGGTCACCACGTCTCAGTGCTTTTATGAAGAGAACGCATCTGTGCACCTTTCGGATAGCGCATCAAGAACCGGGTTGACCGGGTACTCGGTACCACCGGTACTTACAAAAACCTGGTACCGTAACATTTTAATTTTTTTAGTACCGACTTGGTACCGAAGTACCGGGTCTTTTGACAACACTAGTGTGTATTTATATATACATAATAAATATACACACATATATTATAAAAACAAAAACGTTTATTTTGGATGCGATTAATCGTTTGACAGCAGTTATATATATTTTATTTAAAATTTTTAATTTTAATTATGTCTAATTTACAAATATTTAAACAGTCAACCATCATGCTTTTATTTTGAGGGTTTGGCGGCAAATAACAATATGTGCTTCCGGTTCATTTACACGCATGCAGCTCATGATATCAGTGTTCCTGAACGGATCGATTTACAGTAAAAGAACACTGAAACACTGTATCATGAACTACACGTGTATACATGCAGTGCATCACTCTGAAACCAGTGAAGCATACATTTATTCAATGAAGTCACAGTCTGCAGTTTTATTTATTATTTTTATTTTATTCCACAACATTGTGCGGCCCCAAAGTAGTATTATCTTTCAGAAAAGTCTTTTGAATGGTGGCGTATGAGTGCCTCTCTGCCGTCGCACTGCTGTCCAGTTATTGGTATTGACCTTTGAACCGTTCATACGGCTCAAACACCACCTGAAGGCTCTCAGATTGTGGTTTAGCTAGAAGCCTGTTAGGTTGGTGACACACAGACACCTTCATTAGTCGCTGTGGAGAATCATCTGCTGAATGAGTCCTTACAGACACATGAAGCTGTGGCAGCGCTGCAGTGTTTTCTGCTGTAATTCACACTGAATGTGTTCAGACTTGTCGCGCGCTTCGTGTTATCTGAGCGAGTGCTCATGTTCTTAGTCCGCGTTTACGCTGTCAGTTAAATGTGACCCAATTCTGATTTTTTTGCTCATATGTGACTAGGGTTGGGTATTGTTTGAATTTTATCGATTCCGATTCTGCTTTTCGATTCCTAGTTTCGATTCCAATAAGATCAAAATATCCAATATATTAAAAAAATGAAGTCGAACATTTATTCTCTCTTTACAAAGCATTCTCTTGCAGCTGAATAACATGAGCACAAATCAGCAGCCTACAGAACACTTAGGCGTACAAGAGGAACCTTTGCCTTTGCTTTTAACAAAAATACCACAGCAAAAACAACTAGACTAATATAAATGTAAAATATTAAAGTGTTAAAGGAACACTCCACTATTTTTGAAAATAGGCTCATTTTCCAACTCCCCTAGAGTTAAACAGTAGAGTTTTACCGTTTTCGAATCCATTCAGCCGATCTCCGGGTCTGGCGGTAGCACTGTTAGCTGTAGCTTAGCATAGATCATTGAATCTGATTAGACCGTTAGCATCTCGCTCAAAAATGACCAAAGAGTTTCTATATTTTTCCTATTTAAAACTATATATACTATATATAAACTATATATTAAGACCTACTGTAATGCACGGATCTAATGTAATGTTACACATCAGATGCTTTTCCCCAAACGTTCACTTTAGACAGAACAGGTTATGTTTGCATTAATACTCGCCAAGCCACATTTTGAAATACTATAATTCTGTGTGTGTGTGTGTGTATCGGGATCGTGCAATGAAAACCTCAAATTTGACCAAAATGTACATGTTTCTCTTGTTTTGCCTGTAGCTTGTAATTAGCCCGTGCACATCCCGACTCATTTTGCCAGCATTTTGCCAGCACGGGTCACATATAACAAATAGGTCTCAGCTTTAAGTGGTCAGTTTTATCACAATTTCTTGTAACGTTTAACTCAGGAAAGACATTCAATGACCAGAAAATTGATAGTCAGCTTGAAAGAGTAATTCTAGAGAGGAGTATTTTGATCAATATATGCACTATTTTACATATTTATTATATTTTTACTGAACCTGTTAAAAGTCTTCATTATTTAATGTATATTTTAATAAATCTGTTTTGAAAACAAGTTATTAAAGCCACCTTTAAATGTTGATATGAAACAGCCTTACGTGCAATTTTAAATGTTTTTATGCAACCCAGAACAAGAAAACACTCAAAAACTAAAATCTAAACTCTAAAAATTAGGCTGATTTTAATGGCTTGGACTGAAATTGTAACCTTTAATATTATTTTATTATGTTATTTAATATTAATACTGTAATGAGTATTTAATGTTATTTGTACTGTAACTCATCAGTGATATATATCAAGTGTATGTTGCTGTAAATAAGGTTACTATGATATTTTAGATAGCTGTAAAAGTTCACAATTCCTGATACAGATATTGAAACCACAGCAGAAACAAATACTGAGCCGAGTTCCTTATAATTTAGTATACAGTCATTTCACTAATGAAGCACCTTTAATTTTAAATTACTGTAGCACACGCACACACACACACACACACACACACACAGCCTCTCGAGGTTTATTCCATAATGTTTTTGTGGTTGATCTTATTGTTGAATTATTTGTGAGAACATGAAGGCTTCAGCATGGTTTGATTCAGTGGGAAGTGTAGATTACACGAATAACAGTCCGAACATGACAAGACAAGAACGTAGCGTGTGCATTCCTCCCTCTGTCTCTCATTCCAGCACTGTGTAGATTACACTGTGTGTGTGAGTGTGTGTGTGTGTGTGTGTGTGTGTGTGAGTGTGTGAGAGTGTGTGTGTGTGTGTGTGTGTGTGAGATTGTGTGTGTCTGTGTGTGTGTATTTCCTGCAGAGTTTAGCTCTAACCCTAATCAAACACACCTTAACAAGCTCATCAAGATCTTCAAGATTACTAGAAAGTTACAGGCTGCAAAACTCTGTAGGGACATGGACCTCGAGCACCAGAGTTGAGAACCTCTGGTCTATACCTTTATCACAAATCACACAACTAAAATACAATGAAACTCTTTATTTTTCCAACATTAATAAAAGTGAATTAGTCACATTCACATGACCTACAAAAGTCTGGACACAAGTTTTTAAAGGTGCAGTAAAGCCTTATAAGCTGCACCGTACAGTTTTGACCCCAGGAGGTATCAAATATTGAAAAAAAAGTCTTAAACAGAACAAGATGAGGTTTTAACCTGACAGAGCTAGGTAGTATTGATATAACCAAAACTGCATCTAACATGAAAACCATCAGTCTGTCTTCCTCCCCACACCTCAAGTGTCCACTGTATTATTTACTGTAGTAAAGAATAGGTAAAAATAACAACAATAATGTTATATCATGCAAATCTATGCATAGATTTACTTGCCTGAATATGAGAATTAGACCAATCACTCCTTCTGTA